TCCCAGGCAGGCGCACTTTCAGATGCATGAGGACACGCAACACACAAAGACACACACATCTATCAGAAACACAAAAACAGATGCTGGTCCTGCAATATGCATCTGTGTTCAAGAAGGAAGGAAAAAAAAAAGAATAGATGCATGAAAAACCAAAACAGTAATAGTGAAAGGAAACAAAGCATGGCCACATGCCTGGCAGAGGCCACGCTACATCTAGGTTCCTGATATTTGGTGTACAATTAGACAATCTGATGTGTGATGGTGTTCAAATGACTCTGATGTGTTACTCAAAGTAGGAGTGAGGATCCAAATGCTAATACTAGCACCAAACCAAGTCTTACCAAGACAAAGAGCCTTCAGACGTACAGCCAGGTCATTGATGCATTTTAACTCATTAATACATTTTAGCCTCTTATTATCTGTGTTACTGGTCTTCTTAGCTAGAGGGTATTATAAAATAAGTCTTTTTCATATTTTAAATACTTGAATTAATCCAAACATTCTGAAGCCTCTGGATGGATGAACGGATAGACAGATGGATGGCTGGATGGGTCAACTGATCATCTGACCTCTCCCTGCTCCATCACTCCCATAACCACTGTTCCCTAGCAGGAAACAGCTGATTTATTTGGCCTTTGAAAAACAAATATGTATTTAATTCTACTGCCGAACTCTCTGCCCTTTCTCCAAATGTTAATGCTCCTTAAAAGAGCCATATTTTTTCTCTCTGTCTGTTTACCCGAGGCCTTAATGGCGCACGCTAATGTCAATGAAGATCTTGTTTGCTCATCAAATATTACTAGATCACAATGTAAAAATCATTTGGCCATTATTTATTTTCCCCATATCAACACATGATTAACTGTCTGTGATTTTTAATTTCCATCTCTGACCCTGTATTATGTTGTATTTGTGTGGATATCTGTCAAGTAAAGCGATATAACTGATGTGTCAGTTGTGCTTCAGTACCTCTCTTGTCTCCTCTCCTCATCTCAGTGCATCTACAGCACAGCAACCTGTAAAAGCTCGGTTGACGTATATCTTTTAATATCCAACGATATTACATCTGTCTGGTGATAAAAACGGACAGGTAGCGGAGGAAGTGTGACGGGGAAGGGGAGGTGGGAGTGAAAGCTGCGGTGCAGGGAGGTAAAGATGGAAGTCGGCGAGTGATGAGGTTTTTCACCCCATCACTCTGACCTCATTATGCTTCGGGATGAAGACACATGCACAGTTTACATAAATAGTAGGAATTTCTTCATAAATAAATCCCACACATCTTAACTTGGTAACAAATGTTCATAGTCTGTTCAGAATCCTACAAATACAATGATAAAATCAGTTTTACAAAATCAAGAAAGGATGAAGGGAAACGTGTAACTTGTGTTTTTATAAACCGCACTTTATTTATTCAGTTTTAAAATGGTGGTAAATTTACAACATAAATATTCTTTTATTGTTATTTAGGCAAATTTATGCATTTTTGCCTCTTAATTTACTTTTTAGCTGTGCATTAAAGAATAATGGCAGACGTTGTCAGGTCCCTGAATGTGCTTTATGTAGTGATTGACTTTAAAATAAAAACATTTACAAATATAAAAAATAATCAGTAAAATTATATTGTGATGATCATAATTGTATCATTATTATAGTCTATTATTATTTAGCATGAAACATTTTTTTTTATCAGTTTTCATTTAGTGAAGGCATTTTTTGATTTTAATGATGTCTAGAACCGTGGTATCGCGGTGAAATCCTTTGGTACAACACCCATTCCTCTTGAAGGTGACAAATAAAGACACTGCAGGTGGTTGTAGTGTGTGGAGTTTAATGTGGTGGCTTATGTTCTAGCTACCATCAGCTCCATACACATACAACAAAACAGCTGTGGTGGCCTTGATGCTTTGTCTGACCTGTTTTAACATTGAATCTTGTAGAAAGTGCCCCCTACACACTTAAACTTATAAAGACAAGTACACACAAATACACACACACACACACACACACACACACACACACACACACACACACACACACACACACACACCTGCTAATGTCAGGATCAAGATCTTACTCTAGACAGTTGGTCTTAAAGCCTCATTCCCAATGAAACTTCTCCAGCATTGGTATTTTGAAGATTTTGTGATTAGAAATTACTGAGGAGCACAATTGTCAGACTGAAAGTCATCTTCAGTAATATGGGAGGGGTTGAGGGGTGAATTACAACGGAAAACTACAGTAAAAGTGGGTTGTTTTATATAGTTGAGCTCTTTAGCGTTCCTATGCCCAAAAATGAATCCACAAGCATCAGTTTCCAGCATCAATGGCACTGATGTGATTCAGAAAAATGTAAAAATGATGTACAATTGTAATGAATCAAAAGGGTCAATTTTCACCGTCTAAATGACACAGCATAACCTTTCATACACACCAGAAACTGCAAAGTCAAGGCTGCACCAGCTGGAGCATCCAGATGCAAATCAACCTCTACCCACTTATTGTTTCTTCAACGCAGACAACATAAACTGTCAAGGTCTCCCGCAAAAGCCCTTTTCTCTCTGCGTAAAAGACCGCTGGATTCCTCACTCTGAATAAAAGTGAATAATCTACACGAATCCTACAAGGCTTTACAACTTATAAATTAATTAATCATTTGGTTGAATGAACAAGATGTTTAAATGAAATGTTTGAATAATCTGTGCTAAAATCAATGAATTTGAAATGAATATTGCTTTTACAATGATCCATTGTATGATCAGTATGTGTTTAACAAGTTAATCATTATCTACACTCATACACATTATCATAAGATACAGATTAAGGTTAAGATTCACCTCACATAAGGGTTTTAAGACATTCTCATTCACAGTGTTAAAACATCTTTGCATCTGCAACAAGGCGTGGCTTTGTGAGGGATGTTTGTAAAACTTCAAGATATGGCCCATTCTGATTTGCCAGAATACACCAGAAAAGATAAATAATGACTTTATTAAAACAGGAGTAACTTCCCAACTAATTCAGTTTCTAGCTGAGTCCCAAACCGGCCAATTCAGGACAAGCATCCTTGAGCCATCTCTCTTTTGACAAACAGTCAAAAACCTGTTTGCACGCTGCAAGCTGACACAGCCAGACAGCTCCCTAAGAGCCACATCCACTTTGGATGCAAACAAGCATTCCAGCTACTGTTGTGACCCGGAGACATCTCAAGACTGGACGGGTCATATTGGAGCTAATCTACCTGACTTCTGACAGTCTGGATCTGCTGGGGGTCTCCACCAGGGTGTGTAGACACAACAGATTGCGTCTGATGCTGTTTTATTAATAATCAACTCTCTAGTTTATAGCAGACAAAAAATTCTTTTACACCCAGATTTCACAATTTCTTTCAGATACAAAGGTTCTCATACACATCTAGCTTACACCACCTCCCACATCACATTACATCACCGCATGTCCACTCCATCACATCTCATTATTCATATCTTGTCACGTATAATCATTAGTTTAGAAAAGAATAAAATTCTTTTTTAGCTATATACTTGACTCTGTCTGAATTAATACGAAGTGTGTTTATGGGCCTTGAACAAGTTAAAGTAACTATAATCTAATGATTAAACTTCAAAGATCAATCAATTCAATTCAATTCAAAAATAATTTACTAATTCCAGAGGGAAATTGATTGCTGTAGTAGCTCAGAACAATAATAATAATAAAGTCATCAAAGAGTTATTGTATATTACAATGGCTGTTGGCAGGAAGGATCTCCAGTAGCGGTCAGTGTTGCAGCAAAACTGAAGAAGCCTCTGACTGAAGACACTCTTCCATTGTCGGACAGTCTTGTGAAGAGAATGCTCAGGGTTGTCCATCATTTTCTTGATTCTCTGGAGAATCTTTCTTTGCATTATCTCCTCCAGTGGTTCCACAGTCGTCCCCAGAACAGAACCAGACTTTTTTATTAGGCTGTTGAGCCTTTTCAGGTCCCTGCTTCTGATGCTGCTACCCCAACAGACGATGGCTGAAGAGATTACACTCTCAACAACAGACTTGTAGAAGAGGTGCAGCATCTTGCTACAGACATTGAAGGACCTAAGCATCCTCAAGAAGTGCAGTCTGCTGTGTCCCTTCTTGTAAACGGCTTCGCTGTTCTTTCTCCAGTCCGGTCTGTTGTCCAGGTGAACTCCAAGGTATTTGTATTCCTCAACCACGTCCACTTCTTCTCCCATGATGGGAACAGTGTTTGACTCCACCTGGTTTCTTCTGAAGTCTAAAATCATCTCCTTCGTTTTGTTCACATTCAAGGTCAGATGATTGTTTCCACACCATGCCACAAAGCGCTCCACCAGCTCTCTGTACTCAGCTTCCTGTCCATCTCTGATACATCCGACAACTGCAGAGTCATCTGAGTATTTCTGTAGATGACGGGTCTCTGATTTGTACTGGAAGTCTGAGGTGTACAGGGTGAAAAGGAATGGTGAGAGTACAGTCCCCTGTGGTGCTCCACTGTTACTGATCGCTTGGTTTGATGTGCAGTTCTTCAGCCTCACAAACTGTGGTCTGTTTGTCAGGTAGTCTTTAATCCAGGCGATAGTTGAGGGCCCCACCTGTGTCTTCTGGAGTTTCTGGCAAAGTACATCAGGCTGAATTGTGTTAAATGCACTGGAGAAATCAAAGAACATGACCCTCACAGTGCTGCCTGCTTTGTCCAGATGACAGTGGGTTGGTTGAAGCAGCTGGATGATGGCATCTTCAACTCCAACTCCATGGCGATAAGCAAACTGCAGCGGGTCCTGATATGTCCCAGTTTGCTTATTCAGGTGGACCAACAGGAGTCTCTCCAGGACATTCATGATGTGGGATGTCAGGGCAACCGGTCTGTAGTCGTCATTGACTGATGGACGAGTTTTCTTTGGAACTGTAACAAGGCAGGATGTCTTCCACAGGACTGGAACCTTCTCCTGGGCCAGGCTGAGGTTGAAGAGGTGCTGCAGAATCCCACAGAGCTAATCTGCACAGGCCTTCAGTACTCTGGGGCTAACACCATCTGGACCTGCAGCCTTGTTCCTGTTCAGTCTCTCCAGCTGGCTCTTCACCTGACTTGTAGAGACAGATAGGTGGGAGGGGGAGGTAAATGGGGCAGCAGCATCTCCTGACTTGGTTGAAGACAGATTTATAGAACCAGAAGAGTCCATGACTGCGTTAGAGGACAAAAGAGCTGGCGTGTGACAGGAAAATGTTGGATCAGAGGAGGATGGGATGTCTGATTGGCTGGGGACAGGCGAGGAGGATGCTGGGTCTCTTCCTGAACTGAACCTATTGAAGAACTTGTTCAGTTCATTGGCTGTGTCCAGGCTGCCATCTGTGCAATCCTTCCTCTGCTTGAAGCCTGTGATCTTCTTCATCCCTGACCAGACAGCTCTGATATTGTTCCTCTGTAGTTTGTTCTCCATCTTTTTCCTGTATGCCTCCTTGCTGTCTCTGATCTTGATCTTCAGTTGCTTCTCTATACTCCTCAGTAATTCTCTGTCTCCCTCCTTGAAGGCACTTTTTTTCTCATTTAGCAGATTTTTCAGTTCACTGGTGATCCAGGGTTTGTTATTAGCGAAGCATCTCACTGTTCTGGTGGGTATGATGTTGACCACACAGAAGTTTATATAGTCAATGACACATCCAGTCATGGCATTGTTGTCATCTTCATATCCTTGGAAGAGAGTCATCCAATCTGTGGTCTCAAAACAACCCTGCAGGGCTTCTTCAGCGTCCTGTGACCATTTTCTCACAGTTCTTCTTGTCACAGGTGGCCTCTGAACAAGTGGTTTGTATTCTGAGCAGAGAAAAACAAAGTTGTGATCTGACTGACACAGAGGAGGTCTTGTTTTGGACATGTATGCATCCTTTACATTTGCATAACACAAATCCAATGTCTTGTTTTCTCTGGTGGAGCAGCTGACAAACTGTTGAAATGTTAGAATTATAGCAGAGAGTGAGTCATGATTAAAATCACCAGATATAGCCACAAATGCATTGGGGTGCTGGGTTTGTAGCTTAGTGACAACGGAACTGATGGCATCACATGCATTTTCAGCAATGGCAACACTGGTGAACTCTCTTTGCAAATAATATGGGCGACAACTTACTGCCAGGAGTTCAAAATCTGGGCTGCAGAGACGACATTTCACTGAAACATGACCTGGATGGCACCATCTGTTGTTGACAAGCACTGCCACTCCACCTCCTTTTCTTTTCCTGCCCCTCTTCAGATCTCTGTCTGCTCGTACAGTCAGGAATCCTGGCAGAGAGACGTTGGAATCGGGGATATGGTCCTGCAGCCACGTCTCAGTGAAACACATTACACTGCACTGCTGATACTCTGGCTGAGTCCTTGAAAGGGCTTGGAGTTCATCCATCTTGTTGGCCAGTGATCTCACATTGCCCATTACGATCGATGGAAGAGATGGTTTAAATTTCCTCTTTCTCTGTCTCCGTTTTGCTCCCGCTCTGCACCCACGCTTCTTGCGTTTTAGCTCATTTGGGATTTGCGGCTTCAGTTGAGGAATTATGTCAGCCTTTCCTGGTGGTGGTCGGAGGGACCGGTGCTCGCCTCTGTCAGTGCGCCCCAGGGCAGCTGTGGCTACATTGTAGCTCATCCCCACCAGTGTGTGAATGTGTGTGTGAATGGGTGAATGACTGATTGTGTTGTAAAGCGCCTTGGGGGGTTCTAGGACTCTAGAAGGCGCTATATCAAATACAGGCCATTTACCATTTACCATTCCAATGTTAATCAGCTGTTCCCGATTGTAAACCAGCTTGTTGCCATGGTTACACATCATAACAAATGCTCAAAAAGTGATAAAAGTGAAAAAATAGCAGTAAAAATCCTCCAAGCTTCACAGCACCAGAAATAGAAAAGTAAAATGTCCAAAAAATACCGTTTTTCTTGAGAAACTAGAAGACAAAATGTCCAAAAAAAGGCTAAACTTACATATAGTCAACAGAGCTACTCCAACATGCAGCCACCCAGAACAGGGCAGTTCCAGAAAATGTGGTTGATATTTCACATTTATATGGAATTATCACATCTTATTGGTCACAATTAATTTGTGGTCGTCATGCTATAAAGTGTGACTGCTACAAAGTCAATTAAAATGACAATTTGCGTTATCATTCAACACATTAAAACTACTGCAAATAATTGTTTGCTTTCATAAGTTCTGTTCTCTTCTTGCTGGATGTGTATGAAACAAAGAAAGACTGAAAGTGCAAATAAAGCAAAGAAACATGCAGACTGCTCTTCCCCGGAGCCCCACGACGGCTTCTAATTGCGGTATCGACTGATTTGAATGAGGCAGAATTGGACTCAGGAGTTCAAACAGACGCACACAACTGCACCGATTGTATGCAAGGAGCAAGTGCAGAAAATGCAGCATGCGCAGGTGCACAAATACACTCGTAATAAAATATACCACAAGCACACACAAAGACAAATACATGCTGTTTACAAAAGACAAGTACTGTTACAAGCAAACTGGCAAACACCGAGCTGCAGACACAGCAGTGATGGTGAATAGAACTACTGTAATGGTCTCCTCTTTTCAAACCACTCATGCACGTAAGTAGTCCTTTATTGAAAGCATATTGAATACATAAGTACATTTTGGGGATTGAGATGTGAAATGTGATCTGCTGATGAGTGAAACACGTGTGGCTGAGTCGGCCTGTAATGACCAAGCAGCCAATGGCAGCAGAGGAAGAACAGCATGTAGGGTTATCACACGGCCAAAGAACATGAGGCTGCACCACAGCTAACTGAATCATTACTGATTTTAAAATAATGTTGCAAAAATGGCATTATTCAGGGGTAAGTGCACAGATCTGGGCTAACTTCAGATCTGACTGGATGATGTCATTTGATGGAAATTTTAGTTTTTATTGGCTATAAGATATAAAAAGTAAAGAAATAAAAAAAAACTAAAATGATTACACCTAATTGGATGCACCAGTGCCTAAAAGCAACATCAAACCAAAGCCTGTAGAAGCAGCAGAGCAGGTCTGAAACACTTAGAAACAAGACATGATGATGTTTGAGTGTTCCCACACTGTAAGTAGCCTAGAAATCTAGACAAACCATAGTAGTAGTAAAGGAGTTAGCTTAACAGGTCAGTCTATCCAAGCACCACTGTATTCCTCGACAGGACCAAACAATTTTAGGCTTGGCCAATCACAGCCCTCTCTGTTAAGTAAGCAGAAACTGGGCAGGCTTTGCACCAGAGTTGGCCCAGGAACGGAGCGACTTCGCGCAACCTAGACTTGGGCTTTTCTTTGAGATATGAGCAGATAGAGGTAATTAAGCCCTTTATTAAAAAAATTATGTATTTTCTATTTCTTCCTCTGTGATGGAATATTTTTGTTTTATTAAGTTTCTACCAGACGTACAGTGTGAGCAGTCAGGTCGCATCCGAGAACTGGATCGTACAGTGTGAGCGCCTGGCTCGTGAGATCTGCTCTGCGAGGAAGTCGTACAGTTTGAGCTGAAGCTGAGTGCTACGAGTGGAAAAGTCGCACAGTGTACGCCTGGCTTTAGAGAGACGGAGATTTGAAGGTATACTGTTCCAAAGTCTGGGTGCAATAGTCTGAAAGGCCCTGTCCCCTTTGGTTTTCAGTCTGGTTCGAGGAACAGCCAGGAGGTTTTCAGATGTGGATCTAAGGTTCCGAGAGGTGATGTGTGGGGACAAAAGCTCAGATAGGTAGCTTGGAGCCTGGTTGTTAAGAGCTCTATAGGTCAGGACTAAAACTTTAAACTGAATTCTATATTCTACCGGGAGCCAGTGGAGGGACTGTAAAACTGGAGTGATGTGAGCTCGTCTGCTGGATTTGGTTAGGAGTCTGGCTGCTGCATTTTGGATGGCTTGAAGGCGTGAGAGGGAGGTTTTGCTGAGACCAGTAAAAAGAGCGTTACAGTAGTCTAAGCGTGATGACACAAAGGCATGGATTATTTTTTCCAGATCTGCAGTAGAAACCAGTTTACAGACTTTTGAAATGTTTCTCAGTTGAAAGAAACAAGAGCGGGAGATGGTTTTGACGTGTGAGTCTAAACTTAAAGCTGGATCAAAAATAACTCCCAGGTTTCTAATGTTGGCCTTGGCTGATGGGCAAAAAGAGGCAAGTTCTTGCTCGATTTTTTAGCTTTTTCCTTCACTTCTCAAAACATTATTCTAACAGTTTTACTTCCAGGCATATTCCGCCTTCTTCTTGTGCTTTTTTTTTATTGACGGTAGCAAACTGAAAAAGCTCACTGCTAGCCTTTATATGAGCTACCAGCACAGTAAACAGCTATTTTATGGTTTATGGCTCAAGAACGGCTGAGACCAGTTTGAAAGCAATAGCTTAAAGACCCTTTAGTGTTGCTTTAAATGTTTCAGACCATCAAACGAAGGTCACCCTCAGACAAAGATCATCTGAGTAAACCCAACATGCAGTTTTCAAACTGTATTTATCTTTGGTGAGTAGGAAAAGCAACCCAAACACACCTGGACTAACCTGTTGTAACACTCATGCAGCAACTCTGCTTTACATCATTGTTTTAACTGAAATACATCAGAAGGTTTTCTAGCACAAACGACCCATTTAAGGACCTGAAGGGTTTGAATCAATTACTGCGAGTGTTCCTGAAGAAGCAGAAAAGCCCCAGACCATCACAATGCCTCCACCATGTTTGAATGATGGTATGAGTCACCCCTCAATCCTTCATCTCTTTCTAATTGCTGAATCATGACCTCACCTGTGGCAAAAGTTTCTAGATCACATTTTCTGTATCAATTAGATGTTCTTGTCAGTGCTGCTACTGCAGCTTCAGCCACAGTGTGTATTCTCTGTATGGTAGAAAATAGATAAGAACGGTTGGTACAGACATAGGTCAACTTGCTGCATAGCAACTGTGTTTGACTCTGCCTTCTGCTGCAGCCCTGACAGCTCCCAGCCCTAAAGACTGCAGACATAATTACAGCAAGACATAAATATCCACGACACTCCAGCTCAGATTCATGACAATAAAAAGTGGAACGTTCCATATAATAGTTTTTTAGAGAAAGGTCAGAGCTCAGGCTGATCTTGTGTCGCATTCGTGTATCATGTAAATAATTCAGAGCAGTGAGAGGATCAGGAGACAGAGCTGCCCATCAGCAGGAAGCCTCCTGCTCCAGTTTGATGACTGTAGCGCAGCAGAAAAAATACCACTCACATTTAAGAACCATAAAAACAAGGAGCCACTCCAAACCCTGCAGAGGAGCTACATGCTAATGCTCAGAGGAGCCAGAAGCCTGCAGTCTGGAGCATCAACACACCGGCTGCTGAGGAGATTGGTCAGATGAGTGAATATAAAACCTGGAGCAGAAGCGGAGCTGAAAAAACTTAGCTTAATGTTATTTAAAATGAAATCTGACTGTTAGTGTTTTATCCATCTGATCACTGCTGTTGCAGCTTATCCCAGTCGCCTGAGGTGTGATGTTATGGTGTTTGGAGCATGAAGAATAAAACTGCTCGCATGTTTTGGGGTTAGAGGTTTTGTGGATCAATCACAGGCTCTTACTTTTGACGGTGAGGTACATGGACTTGCTGACATCAGCTCCAACATCGTTGCTGACCTTACACAGGTAGAAGCCGCTGTCGTCCACCAGCACGTGTTTGATGAGCAGCGAGCCGTTGCTCAGCAGCGTAATTCGGGAGCCGCTGTTCAGGGGGATGGGCTGAAACTGGGGGACGCCAGCACCTGAGGAATAAAACAACATATATCATCAAAAATGTGAAAAATACACGACAATTTAGGAAAGCAAAGGAATCAGAGCCTGAGATAAAAATGTTTGTGTGTTCACTACTTTTACAGATTTGATGACAAAGTCCATGAGATTTAGAATGTAAACATGTTTTTTTTTACGCAGGGCCTAAATCCCTAAACCCCCGAGCAGCTGCTGAGCAGAGTGAAACCTAAGAGTGATGCAATAAGAACGGACATGAAGCTCATGTTTAGCATGACGGCAGACTGGTGAGGGCTAACAACAGGCAGACAGATGTTTATTTTAATCACAGAGACTCACTGAGAAAGCTCCAATAACGTCAAGACGACATATTTTCTCAGGCTCTCTCTTTGCGGCAGAGTCTGGTTTTACAATTAGCCTCTAGCGGTGGTTAAATGTTTAGATACAAGTAGAAATGACTGGGCATAGTTAACTGTTTATTAACCCCGACTATAATTATGGTTGAGCATCGAGCATCTGACAAAATTTCAGTTTTTTCTTGGAATAGTTTGAACTTTTAAATCCTGAATCCTAGTTTCAATACTCAGTCTGCCAACCAGAAAAAGATGCCTTCAAATACCAACGAAGAAGAATCTGCTAGAAGTGTTTGCGTTACTGCCGTCTAAAGGTTTGCCTCACTTTAAATAAATAAAAATTCACGGAGATGTTCAGATTATTTTATCAAGTGAGACCCATGGTTAGCTGGTAAAGTTTTTTCACCCGGCCTCTTGAAATAATTTGAATTAAGAATTGCTAGGACTGGGAATTGGAACTGGAATCACTGAAATACAAGCCATACCCATCCTTAGTTGAACTAACTTTTAGGAAAGCCTGTTCCAAAAGACAGGAATGTTCCTGATTTTATGGGATAAAAGACAATAATATTTTAATTCCAAAACTAAAATGTATAAAACACTCATTTATCTTGTCTTCACTTATCTTTTCTTAATAACTGCATCAATAATCTTTGTGGATTTGGAAGAAAATCCTAAAATGATCGAACACATAAAATAAATAATACAGAATTTCATTAGCACTGAATCAGGCTAACATAATATAAATATTAATATTTTAGGATTTCCAAATAAACATTTTGTTTAACCTATGTTACACCTGCTCTGATGGGAAATCTTTTGAAGAGACACATTAAAGGCATACTCTGCAACTGTTTCATTGTTTTAAGTAATTTTCTTGTGCCAGCATATGCTAAAATGACCTGTTACAGTTAATGAAATGTCACTCAGACCCCCTCCACCCTCTGTGGCCAGAATACCACACTTGCAACTTCAGAGTATCCAGACTGGTCGCTGTTAGACTTAGTAAAATGGAGCCGACGCGCCTGGCATGCTGGAGTCTGCTTCCAGCATGTTCGCTGCGTGTTTTAGATTGTGAACACAGCTGATTTGTTTGATTTAGTGATGAATCCCTTCTGCAGAAACTAATGAAACTGGGAGATATTTCAGCTGTTAGATGAAGGTGTTAAAAATCAAATGCACTGCGAGGAGAAGAGTTTTACTTTCGGTTTTACACCAGTGAACTTATAACTGACTCCAGCGGGTGCTAAAAGCAAGCCAAAACTGCATTGTTTCCCTTTAAAGCAGAAAGCTGGAGTTTTTATTTTTATTTTTTGGTCAGAGGGCACCATCTAGAAATGTTTAATTTTAACTTCCCAGAAGCTTTTAGCTTGTTTTTATCAATACAATGGTGCGAGTTAATTTTTTTCCATTCTTTCCCAGCACTTTGGCAGATAACTAAACAAACACACATTAGGTTAACGTCCTCAGATCTGTCTGCCACACAGTAGCACATTTCATTAGCTTGTGCTAAATTTAGCATGTCAGACAGCACTGACCGCTGTGGGCTTCTACCTTTAAATTAAAACACACTCGAGTGGTTGTGGAAAGCATAAGGTCAAGTGGTAACTTTGTTTTTTCATTTCTGGCTTTGAGAGAACGTCTGCCGAGGCCGTGTGGGAGTGTTCTCCTATGAATTATGGACCGTGTGTATCCAAACAGTTCTAATCACAGCTGACCTTTACCTGCAGCTCCATAAATCCCTGAGACATTTACCTGCCTCTCTGCTGAAGCTGTTGCTCTAAATGCATAGTAGACAACTATTATGGGGACATACTGGGCTCCAGCGGACAACAAATGGTTCTCTAAAGCTTCCAAGGCTTTCTGATCCTGTAGCACAGATGAAGCAGCATTAGGCGTGTATCTAATGCAGATCACTACATAATTTCATCTCATTAAGCGTTCCTTCAC